GGTGGGGCTGATTTTCCTGGCAGGACACAGAGGCACGAAAAAATCGGTTTGCCTTCATTCTGGTCCACACGTGGCTTCACTGTCTCTCTCTGCAATGTGTCGGTTGTGTAATGATGAACTGCTGGTTGGTCGTGTGGTACTACAGGTCAAATATCAGTAAAACCAATCAAAAAGAGCTTGTTACTGTTTTGTGGATTGAGGTGGTGATTTTAGAACAGCTGGATCTCACGTGGCTCAGAACTGGACTTAACTCAGTTAAAAGTAAACTGTATAATTAGGCCTGTTGATTTAAAGCATTAATTTAGTGTGAGAATACTCCCTCTGACCCATAAGTAAATTCCAAAATAAGTAATTTTCCTACTATTGGACCCAGTTCACATTTAATGTACCTGCTTTTAGATAGTAGTCTGCATGTTTACATATACAAACAACTAACAAGTTTTAAAAGACCACAAAACTAAACTGAACAGATTGCTGTGGGCCATAGATCAGTGATTTTCAATAATATGAAATAAAACCAACAATATGCTAAACACTAAAATAAACATATGCAAGAAATTAGTTAACAGGCTACTGTAAAAAAACATATTCGTACTGTTTCAGAACTTTAGTGCTGAAGTGTGAATGATTGAAATATTTTGTTGCAATAAGTTGTTGCATGAATTGCAATTGTGGTACATTCGCTGGAAAAGGTATTCAGCCAATTGTATTGCAATTTAACAGGTTGCATGTGTGAAAGTGGATGTTGTTGATGTGCCAGACTGCTTTGGTTCAGAAAGCCTGCTGACACAACAAACATGCACCCACGCTAACTCATCGCATTTCTCCAGAAAGAGAATCTAAAGATGGACACATGTCCCAGGAAGTACATCAAGACCTTTGATTACTAAAACACACACCCTGACCCAATGCAAAACATTTCAGCAGTATCCACCGAAAACTGCTGGGTTTTTGAAAAACTGACATTCTAAAGAGTGTCTGCAGTTTTGAATTCCCTACTGACTTATATTGACACACAGACTCAACACAAACAACCTGAGTACATCTGTTCTTCTGGGTACCTGAAGCCCAAATCAGACATAGAATAGTTTTTAGTGTAGGTTATGTTTTCAGTCACTTAATTGTGTTGATAAAACTGTATTGCAACTGTGTTGCAGTTCAAATTTATATTAAATGTACCTGTACTTTTTTTTTTACTGTTGACCCACTTAAGTATGACTTAAGTACATCTTTATATGTAATTTCATGGTTACTTTATTGTCTTTGAAATGCATGTATGGATAAAAGTGTACTAAGTAACAGATGTACTGACAAGCATTTATAGAAAAATAAAATGTACTTTAATGTTGAATCTGGTTAGTCATCATGTATTTAAATATATTTGTAACTACACATTTGCAATGAAGTTGCAATTTCGTACATTTCAAATATATTAACTTTAAAAGTAATATTGCATAACGCACTACAATCAAGTACTTTGCATGTGCTTTTGTAAGTCAACACATTAAAATAAGTGTACTTCTGTATGACAAATTTTATTAAAACAATAATTTAAAATGGACTTTAAAGCAAAACGTTTAATTTGACATAATTGCATAGTCAGGAAAGTGTACTCTCTTTAAGTAATCTTAAGTAATATTTTATTTCCTTTTAATTATATTATCAGCAAGTGAAGTCTTTAAAAATATACTTTGAAGAATTGAAGTAAACTACAAGTCCATAGTCAGTACAATTCAGTGTACTTATTTTTCACAATGGAAGACATGTTGGTTCGTAAATTTCATGTGAATTCTTTTGTTGTATATTAAATATATCCATGTTGATCTGAGAGAGGACAGACCAGTCATAGGAAAGAAATCCATAGTTGAGATCTCTATGATGCCTGTTTCGCACCATACACAAAAGCAGTGTGTAAGTAAAGCAGCATGCCAGCATTGTTCTTTCCAACATATTCAGTTCTACAGTTCTGAGATCTTCTTTAAGAGATATGAAATGTCCTCTAAGCAGTAGATGTTTCATCTTGAGTTGCAGAGTCACATTTGGCTTTGCGTTCTAGTGTCTCTAACCAGCTCTGTAGTTAGTCATCATGAGGAGAGCATGTGTATGTGAGAAAAAAATTATGTGTTCAGGTTGGGACGGAAACGTCTCACTTCCACGTGCTCCTTATCCTTTAATCTGTGTACTGAATCTAAGGGAGACTGGTCTGCAGCGGAGTACTGCTATCTGGCATACTTTACTGAGACTGTACATACTCTATAGCATATCTCCACCACTGCAGTCCACTTAAGTTTTTAAACAAGGAGTAGGCCCATCTAATCTTCTAATTAACCACCAGAGCATAAGAGCAGCCATTTACATTGCAGTGTGTCAGTTGTTCCTGCATCTTGCCACCTCTTTAACTATATTTTTACAGTTTAAATGCCTTGCCTTATATAATCAACTCCATGCATTAGTAATCCCATAGGGGGAATATAAGAGCTCAAATTGAGTCTACTCCATTGCAGACAGAAATCTAAACTCATTTAACCATCCATCCATTCTCCAAACCTGTTCTAGGGACTCATATGGATGTATATGGATTATGGAAACATCTTGGATGGATGGCCATCACAGGGATAAAAACGTGTTTAACCTTTACAGCTTAATTATTAGTTGGCTGTCAGAACTCATGAAAATGCATTTAAGATGCTTAAAGTGCACTCATCTACACTGCAACTAGAATTCGAATATGTCTTCTCCACCATTTGGCAAACTACTGCTGATGGTTTCCAGTGCAGGTAGACATATGAAAAAACCTGCATGTCTTTGTTTATTGAAGTCTCTTGAGTTCTTGTGTAGCGCATCCAATCAGACTGAAACTGGCAATTTCCTTCAGAACTTGCCATTTTTTTGCCAATGGATTTGGGTGGTCTGTGGCCATGTCTTCTGAGGCTGAAAATAGAGGCAAACTGGTGGCTTATTCAGCTAAGAAGATGGAGAGAAAATAAACACCAATGGCAGAGCAGAAACATGAAAGATCATCTCCCTCTCCAGTCCACAACTCCAGAGATCTTTTGAGTGAGACCTTCAGCCAAACCTCATAGTAGCTGAAGAACTTAAGCTTTCCCTCAGACGGCCACAGAGCAGCTCTCGGAGCACAAACATACAGAACTGAACAGAAAATTTGGTCATCGTTTACTCTCTTTCGTGTCTTCTCAAACCTGAATGACTTACAGTATTCCTCATGTGAAACAAAAAAAAGAATGTTGAAGAAGAGTGTGAAGTATGTTGACGTTGCTCTTTTACAAACCACCAAAATATATAGTGACCATGGGTGGTCAAACTCCAAAAAGGAGTTTAAATCCATAAAAGCAATCCCTATAATTGTCTATATTCTTATTAGACTTCCGAAGTCATAAATTATTTTTCAGGTAAGAACAGACCAAAGTTTATATCATTATTTACTGATAATCTTCCCCTAGCTCCCCATAGCTTCCCCATAAGCTCTCTAATGCCATTGCATATTAAAAGTTGGTATGTTGTGGTTGGTTATGCGACGTGAGAATCAGTTATAGAGAGTAATACTGATGTCAGTAACATGTTTTCAAGTTTAAATTTGCTTAAAGGAACACGCCACTATTTTTGAAAATAGGCTCATTTTCCAACCCCCCTAGAGTTAAACAGTTGAGTTTTACCGTTTTCGAATCCATTCAGCCGATCTCCGACTCTGGCGGTAGCACTTTTAGCTGCAGCTTAGCATAGATCATAGGAAAAATATCGAAATCTATGGTCATTTTTGAGCGAGACGCTGACGGTCTAGTTAGATTCAATGATCTATGCTAAGCTGCAGCTAAAAGTGCTACCGCCAGACCCGGAGATCGGCTGAATGGATTCGAAAACGGTAAAACTCAACTGCTTAACTCTAGGGGAGTTCAAAAATAATAAGTGTTCCTTTAAGCTCATAAGATTTGAGAACTGCAAAAAAGATTTTCAGCAAATAACAACTGAAATTCCACATACAACGATATGCTATGACTTCAGAAGAATACAGCACACAGGTTGTATGGACTATATTTATAATACATTCACTGGTCATTAACTACTGTATGGGAAAGATCAACATTTTTAAAACATGTTCATTTCTTTCAGTTGCAGATCAACTGTGATCCCAAGTAAAAGTGAGCCATGGAGAACCAGTGAGACTGTAGTTTAATTCTGTCCATGACTAAACACTTAACCACAGAAAGCTCCCTGAAACTAATTTTATGGAGACTCGCTCTAGGTGAAAAATGTCTAGTTTTAGTGAAATTAAATGAAAAATCGGGTGGTCCTAGGTAAAGTCTATATGCTAAATACAAAGATAGGCTACTGCAAAATGTTGGCAGTTGATTGCAAAAATACGAACATGTAATTTAGAAGTTCTTAGTTATGTATCTTTCAAGGTTGTTATCCTTAACATATATGATGCTGGCATACAGAAAGAGTATTTGAATGCGCATAGCACAGCTCAGATAATTTGGTCTCGGAAGGATTTGATGAGTTCATATGAGATATCTGACTTTTGATTCAAACTGTTGGTATCTTGGCAATACTGAGCACTGAGCTCTTTTGAAACTCCTTTCACAACTCCTTCAGTGAGATTACACTTCTTCTTTATCGTGACCACAAGGTTGTTTTAGGTTTGTCTGCCAGTTTATATTGAGTCTGTGAACCTTGCCAGCCATAAACCAAAGTGCTGCTGTTCAATTTTCCACCGCCCTTGTGTTCAGCCAGCTCAAATATCACAGATTAACTTCTCCTCAGAGAGCAGAACCTCAGACACAAAGCTCTGAAGAGCACTTGGCGGATGGACGCCCTGTCACAGGCTGTCACGCCGGGTGAGGAAGATGAGTACGATGATGAATGTTAAATGTATTAATGAGAAAAGTAGCAGCACGTGTCTGTGCTCGCCTGCAACCGCCAGACAGCTGTGAACAGAGTTTGAGAAACAGAAGACGAGAACGAGAGGACTGATCCCTTACCTGGAGAGAGCTCTCCTTCACTCTGATCCCCAGAATCTGAGTCCATCTCTCCACGAAGAACCTCTCCTCTCCTCTCCTCTTCTCTTTTCACTCCACTTCCTCTGTTTCTCTGTCTCTGTGCTGTCTCTCTGCACTGAAAACTGTTTTCTTGAGCTCAAATGCACCAGCTCTCCGTGTTCAGAATATCACTGACTCAATGAGTGTGCGCTGTTTGCCGAGCGCCTTTTCTGTGCAGTCAGACTGCTTTCTTTTACTGACACTCTCTTGCTTCCACTTTCTCCTCTCATTTGCTTCCTTCCCCTCCCTCTGCCCCCCTCTCTCTCTCTCTCTCTCTTTCTGTGTCCCTCCTCCCCCTTCTCCCCTCGGCTAGACATTGTGATGCCTACAAAAACATTAAGAGGAGGAAAACTCTGTCTCTCCCTTTAAGCTGATCTCTTGCCTGTGAGGAATGTTTTGTATGTTGGAGAGTTTTTTTCATTCAGACATTGTTGGGTGCTATTTTAGGGGCAAGTTTGGTTTTTAATGTTAGAAAATGTTTTTGGGATGGACAAGTGAATAAGAAATGACAGTGGTGTTGAAGGTGTTTTATTAGATTGACTTTGCCACATCATCCAGCTCAAAAATAATAGAGTAACAAAGTGCCATCACCGGGTCAAGGCTGGTTTTGCTGGTTAGTGTGATCTAGTTAGCCCCTGCTGGTAGATGATGTAACTACACCATTATGAGGGCAAAAGCATCGCTCTCTTTTGATGGTCATTTGAAGTAGCTGTGTATTGTGATGAAAGAATTCCTTTTTTATTATATAAAGTAGATTTTGTACCATGCTTGGATTATTTTCCCTTGTCTCCTGCCTTCAGATCTGTATAGTTGCTTGATAAGGGTTTGGAACTGTGTCCGTTCTTGCTGTGCCATCAGTTAGTTAGTGTCATAATGTCATTTTCCTGCAGCTTTTGATTGATTTGTCATAAATCATAAGCTTGAATTTAGATTGATTTCTGTCCCTCCAAAAGTAGTAATACAGATTATTTCTTAAGTATAACCAAAGTCTTAGCAGCTGTATTCATGCAAGTACAGCTCATCTGAATGGAAAGACCAAAATCATTTGTCTGGATTATATTTCAAAAACATATTTCAAATCAGATATAACATCTGACACCAACCAGTGTTCAATTTGAAGGGAGATGAGAGGGGATGACATGTCTCTTGTTGAAAAAAAAAATGCCCAAAAGCATCCCCTCTGTAAAACCACCATGCTATTTAGATGAATGGTTTAGTGTTTTATATAAAGCATCTAATGCAAAATATCTATCATTTTTACACATGATAATTTACGAGCTATGAATAATGGCTAATGGCCAATCAGATCTCAATATTCCAATGAGCTGTGCACAAGGTCATATAAGTATTTGTCAGATTTGCACTCTTTAAAAAAAGGCCAAGAGGACAGTGCAAGGACATCTTTTGACATTCTTTAAAAAGAAGAGAACAGAAGGTTAGTCAGCTGTTTTTTAGGATATTCCCCTGATGTAACACTGGAAAGAGTAACGGACATAAGTACATTGATTCAAAAAGGAATCGTTGTCAAGGTTTCATTGAATTATTGAAAAAGAATGCAGTCACCAAGGTGCGCGCATATGCTATGTAAATGTATCTGTGAAAAAAGTCAGGTTTTAGTCCCTAAAGTGTTGAGCTATTTTCTTACACCACTGTTTAAGCAATCTGCACTGAGAGAATTCAAACAACAAAGAGTTTACCATCAGAAATGACCACACTGTCTTTACCATCCATTGTGAAAGCTCTGGAGTGCAGAAAAGTTTGGGGCTCAAAAATAATGTCATTTGGAACTCACTTTTAGAGTTATTATTTTAATTTTTTTTATTATGTTATGACTTTAGAGGCAGTATATGAATGCTTCCCAAAGTGCCCTCCGATTACATCATTCAGGTTGTTTGGTACACAGGGAGAGTCTTGTGCTTTGTTAAATCAAATAAAAATTAGTGTGTCAGATTGGTCGAGACGCTACAGCTTAATCATACAAGACAGTCACTTAAGTACATCTGTAATTTCATAATTACTATCATATTGAAATATGGTTTAAGTGTACTGCCGAATCTACTGACAAGCATTTATGGTAAACTAAAATATCATTTATATTGAAACTTGTATGTCATTTATTTATTGTAATTACACATTTTCACATTACACATTAATACTGAAGTTGCAATTTAATACATTGAATATATGTTAACTTTAAATTTAATATAAAATAACAAAAAATAAACAGAAAAAAATAAGTCATTTGCTTGTGCTTTAGTATGCTAGTCAACACATCAAAACAAGTGTATTTTAAAGCATGACAAAATATTATTAAAACTTAATGATTTAAAATGTACATTAAAGTAAAATGTTTAATTTGTTATTATCACAAAGTGCATGTAACAGTCATAAAGTATATCGTTTTTTCAAGTACACTTAATTTATTTCATCAATATTATATTATTTGCAAGTACAGTTAAAAAAAAAACTTTTAAGATTTGAAGTGCATTACAATTTGTTTAGTCTGATCCATATAATGTGCAAACAGTAGTTTGGCTCTTTTAAACTGTAAGGTTGGACTACAACCTTCATATAGAGCATTACGATTTCTCTCATTAATATACAGTATCTACAAGTGGACCATCTTTTTGTCTCTATCATAACAGAAAACAAGTGATTCAGATAAACCTCACACACTTGTCTACTGAAAACTCCACCCACAGTGAAACAACATTGGTCCAACATTACTGCAAATTAAAGTCAAATATGTTCTGATTGCCGTGAAGCTTGCAGAATTGAGTTTTCTTTAGAAGCTTCTCTCTGTTTGTCTGTGCAGCTGTCGTTGTGTCTGTCCCGTGATCTGTTTGTCCTTCAGGAGTGTCTGATAGCTCGTGGCTCTCAGCAGGGTCAGTGTGGTGGCAGATGGCGTGGATGTGCCTCAGGCTGAGGGTGCGTGTAGTCAACTGTCACATCTTAATAGACAGATGGTCATGAACTTTCTCTCTTTGAGTCCAATTTATGTCCCAGTTCAGTCCAGTGAAGCAGTCAATCGTCTCGACCCACTCACGCTAAAGTTCAGTTTGAGACTGATGGTTAAAACGTTCATAAGTGAAAGTGTTGTTGTTTTTGTCCAATCACAGCTGACTCTTCGTCATTGATGGCCTTTTCTTTTATTTGGTGGAACATCTTTTAGACCCTTGAGGGTTTTCAAGGCTACAAATGTGTTGGCTATGTTCTCAATGGCAGTAACTGACATTTGTCCTTTTGTGTTCTTCTGGTTATTCTGGTTGTTTTTCTACCTACCTCACATAGGCAAAGGACATTTATGGCCATTTAAACCTCTATTGTTGATGTCATTTCTTGTGATAAAAACACTGCCACCTGCAGCCCTGGAGTAATATAGTCTACAACAATTCAAATAAATAAATAATTAAAATAAATGTGGTCTTACTGCACTTTTTCATTTCTGTGCCTGATATGAAGTGGGCAGAATGCTCATTTTTACCCTTCCAGTCAAATATTGTGCAGCAAACATCATTAACAACTTTAATTTTCAATGCAAATGACCATATAAGAAGGCATGGCAAATGACCACACAACCCTCAGATGGGGGTCCCAACCCCCTCACGATTTCTGCCTATGCTGTTTAAAGGCATATGGACACAAATGACAAAATACATTTCCGCAGCTCTTTGGTTCATTTGGCTACCTCTATATGTGTCTTTTTAATGTAAAGATAAGGTTCAACACAGTCATCCATGATTGCAGGACATCCTGAATTAGAAAATTTGCTTCCCACATTTTCAGCACATTTATTCCAGTGGGAGTACATTGCAACAGCCTTTTCTGACTGGCGAGATGTGCTTATGGTAATTTAGAGCAGGTAGGTCAGATTTTCTGGAAAGGACTATCATTATATTGTCTATCGTGCCAGGCCATCTCACATTAGTCAGAGTCAAGTACATGTCTCAGACTGATCTTGAAGTGAGAATGCTCTCAGAACTCAGAAGGTGATTTTGAAATGATCATGAAACAAGCAATTGCTGTCATTAAACACCTCCATATAGTGCCACAGAAAAGTTCCACAACCATGTGCATCCATTACAATATTAGGCCTGTATTGTATTGCAGCATTATATGTATGTAAAATTAATGTTTACAAACACTTGAGCAAAAGTAATAATTTGCACAAAATAACTAGACAATAATCTCTACTTATGCAACATGGGAAATGTCACTGCATACACTTTCACTAAATAGCAGGTATACAGTATACACTGCGCAGTAAGCAGATATGAAGACATCATACAAAGTCCATTTTTAGGGGTAAGAATTTTACTTCACCCTCCCCTTTTAACATTTAAAAGCTTTTTGTCCCTTTATGACCATAAAACCGAACTTTGATGTTTGTGATCTTTAGTCTGTGCTCTAAAAATAGGCATACCGTATATATCATAATATGGTGCCCTTCAGTATTATCGTGCAATTTAGAGAAATGTATGGGGTGGTCAGTGTCAATATATCAACTGTACCCGCTGTAGAATGCTATTGTGTCAGATGCTGTCAAGGCCTAGACATTTAGGATGAACTAATGGAGGCCACAACTGCATCTGACACCACAATTAGCAACTCAATAAGAGTAAGTTGATTTATGATTATGTAAATGAGTGAGTTACTCACTTGCTGCCTGGGAGAATGTCATTAGTTTTGCTTTTTACATTTGTACAATGAACTGGTTTTTAACTGTTGATTATTTGTTTGAAAACTGTTGTTCAGCGTTTTAGAAATGTACCATTCCTAATCTGAACTCTTAATCTTAGTTGTTCAGTAATTTACAGTGAAACTAACTTTTAGATGTGGATATACTGAATATAATAAAGAACAGGAATACAATGCTAAAATCAAATCGTGTAGAATAGTATCTTTTACCACATTAGAAAGACATTAACATTTTTGGTAAATTAGTTGGTTAGGCTATTTTAAGGCATTAAAGATGAGTGTTTCAACTCTATTATAGTTCTGATTTAACTGTACCCGATGCGATACAATTGGAACAAAAATACTTCTCATCTTTACGAACCAACTGTGGAAAATATGAACTAGTTATAGGTTTAATGTAAAAAGCAAAAAGTGTTCCAACTGTGCACAGTCTACCCTACACTATTATTCCATTACGAACACAGCCAGCCAGGGTCACTGGCTTATGTGACACAGCGAACAACATGCATTAATTACCATTAAT